ACCGAAACGTCAGCCTTCCTGCTCCTCTGATGCTGCTTGGCCTGCTGTGTTCATCCAGCTCCACACCTTGTTGTTATCTAAGGGTAGAAGTTATACAATTAATGGTAGGGCCCTGGATAGTGTTGTAGAACAGACACTTAGGGGTTCAGATACATAATTCTTTGAAATTTGCATCACAGGTAGACAGGGTGGTAAAGAAGGTACTTACCTTCATTGCTCAGACTATTGAGCATAGGAGTTGGGACGTCATGTTGAGGTTGTACAGGACATTGGTGAGGCCTCTTCTGGAGTACTGTGTCCAGTTCTACCTGTACCTGTTCACCACCTACCACATACAAGTCAGGAGTGCAGCAGACAATGGGATCATCAATTGTAAACCTCACACCATCCTGATTTGGGACCATACTGTCATTCCTTCAATGTCACTGGGTCAACATTGTGGAACTCCCTCCCTAACAGCTCTGTGGGTGGACCCACACCCCGAAAACTGCAAGAATTCAAGGCAGCTCCCCACCCATTTTCTCGAGGGTAATTAGGGATTACGGTAAATGTTGACCCAGCCTCTGACTTTCACATCCCATGAACAAATAAAGAAACAAAAAGCAAACACAGGTCTTTAATCTTGTGTTTATTGTTGTAAGTCCACGTAGAAGGTTTATTTTGTTACACTAGTATGTCAGCAATAGTCACAGCACAATGGTTACTGGCAGCAGCAAACGTGCTTACACCCGGCATCCCGAGGGTAGGGCAGCGGGTCAACAGGACAAGAGACAGGGAACTTTGGGGTGGTCCGGGAGACACGTTACTGGAGGATGAGGGTTCGAGGTCAAAGACAGGACACTGGGGACACAGGGTCAACTGTCACAGATTGACGATGCTGAAACTGGGGTGACATTCACTAAAGGAAAGGGGTCTGATATCAGGCAGACACTTTCTGGAGGAGAAACAGGTTGAAAGGTCTTTCTCCTTTGACTCATGTTTCATGAGTAGAGTTAAGTAATGTGCGCCGACGGCTGGTTAAACGTTGGGAAAAGAACTTGATTAAAGGTTCGCTGTCAATGCATTCTCTCTCAAAGCAGCACAAGGACAGCCACCTGCCTGAATGGTGCTGCACTGGGCAGATCAGAGTTAGACTGTAAGCGCTGCAGCAAGCTGCAAGCAGTAGGTAAAGTGAGTCCTGCCTAAAGAGTGAGACTGCGGAGAATATTGCTCGCAGTCTTTCCAATCTCAAGGAACGGACAGGGACAGCGTGAGCGTGCACGATTTGGGGAGTACGCACGAGAGAGAGAGAGAGACAGAAAGCATACAGTGTGTGTCCACACACAAGCTGCAATGTGTAGTGTGACCATTCTCAAACTGACTCTACTTTCAAACTTTAGCCAAATGTGAGAGTGTTTTAAAAGAAAATTGTACAAAAACATGCAACTAACTGGAAGAATTTCTACAGGGTCTTTCAGCACCTCAGCCAATGGAGTAGCTGAAAATGTAGCCAATGCTGTGATGTTGGATGGAATCTCTTCCTATTCTGTCCATATCTTGTTGGGGCAATTCCAGCTGTTCCCACCAATCAGAGTCCAGAGATTTTTCCATGGAACCCCAGAGATCTCGCTCACAACAGCAGGGGCAGATTCCAGGTTGAGCAGAGTGTGTTTAATCTGGTCACACTCCCCCCGGCGCCAGCTGTTACAAGGCGAGGGGCGGGGTGGGGGGGGGGGGGGGTGCGCGCAAAGACGTTAAACGCCATCGGTGAATTTACTGCAACGCGGTCTCATATTTTCTCACAGAGGCTGACGTCCAGGGCAGGAGGCTGTAAGCAACCGCTCAGGAATGTGCAGGATAGAGCGAGGGATAGGAGTTGTCACTGGTGGGTTGGCTGGATTGCTCGCGGTGGGGGGTGGTGGCGAGTCCGGGACTCAGGCAGCCAATGGTCCAAGGCTCAGGTCCACGTGCTGAGTCAGCCAGATGACCTCGGCGTTTTGCTCACCCTCTTCTGACTGACGGATGGGCGCCGCCAGATTTTTGAAGTCAAAGCGCAGTTTGAAGCCGATATTCACGCTGCCGCTCTCCTCCTGTGGGATGACCTTGATGAAGAATCCAACCTTGTTGGATTTTCGGAAGGCCACAATGCTGCAAAGGGAGAGATGAGTCTCAATATTTAGTCAGCAAACCTTTTTTGAACCATTCAGTAGAGACCATTAGTTTCTGTGCTACTTCTTGGAAAGACCTATCCAATTACAGCAGGGGCCTGGGACATTCTCCACAGTAATATCTCCATGCCTCACTTCAACTATTTATCAAATTCCATTCAGAAAATGCAAATTAATTTTCAAAACATTGCCCCGTGTACTGAATGTGGAGGTGCCGGTGTTGGACTGGGACGGGCAAAGTCCGAAGTCACATGACACCAGGTTACAGTCCAACAGGTTGAAGTCACAAACTTTCGGAGCACTGCTCCTTCACCAGGAGCCGTCACCACCTAACAAAGGGGCAGCACTCCAAAAGCTTGCAATTTCAAATAAACCTGGTGTCATGTGACTTCTGTCAGTGTACTGACATAACAGGGTCAGTACTGAGGGAGCGCCGCACTGTCAGAGGGTCAGTACTGAGGGAGCGCCGCACGGTCAGAGGGTCAGTACTGAGGGAGCGCCGCACGGTCAGAGGGTCAGTACTGAGGGAGCGCCGCACGGTCAGAGGGTCGGTACTGAGGGAGCGCCGCACTGTCAGAGGGTCGGTACTGAGGGAGCGCCGCACTGCTACAGGATCAGTGCTGAGGGAATGCTGCACTGTCAAAGGGTCAGTAACGAGAATATAATGCATTGTAAGAGGGGTGATGTTGACAAAATTGGGGTGTCAATCACTCCCAATATGACTGAAAATGGAATGGATCCATAGAGTTAAAACATTCTCTTGAGGTTAATTGTGAGTCTATTTCACAAATCCAGTGTTAACCTCTTCTCAGCAGCCCAATCACAAAGAGGTCCCTACTTAACCCAAGATCCAGCAGTGAAAACCCCACCTTCACTTCGAATTTGTCTTTAATCACTAAAGCAATGCTAGATGGGTTGATAACTAGGTGTGAAGACTGCAACTTTTTATTCTACTTAATTTGTAATTGTGGAATGAATTGGGAAAGGGAATGTTTAACAACAAAGGACTGAGGAAGGAATTGCTATAAAGTTAAAAAGCAAGTTACTGAAACTCATTGTGGATTGGGTTCACAACCAGTGGGTGAACATACGAGAGGAGATGACACAATGTACAAGGTGAAATCCAGCCAGCAAGAGGTTCCTGATTGGTTTGTGAAATTGCAACCAGTTGCAGATGCCCAAGGTGATCAGCCTGACAACGACTATCAGATTGGCTCCTGGACAGCTTGTGGATGTGAACAATACAGACAGAAGGCCTTGGATCTCTGACATTGGAGATGGTGTGTCTCTCTCTGTTCCTCCAGTAAAATACCAGAAGCTAAAGAAAGCCAGTTGTTTCCATGACGCTGTTGTTTTTAAGCTATAAGTCAGAGACGTTATAATTTGTGACCTAGTTGCTGTACGCCTCCTGTGAGGAAATGAAAGGATCTGAAGGAAAAGATCAGAACTGAAGGACTTGGGAAACAAAATAAACCTCCTCCACTGAATCCTGAGAACTAGTGTCATTGAACTGCTCTCCTTTGTTCCCCTACATCTGTAACACCAATATTTGTGTGTCTGTCTGTATGTGTATGTACAGGGGTTTAGAAGGGGATTACAGTTTTAGCTGGTAAAGTTTATGTTCACAGGTCATAGCTGTTTACTTGTGATTTGAAACTATTCATGTCCAGTGAAAAAAAAAAAAAAAAAAATTCTTGTTAAGTACAGAAACCTGTTAACCTGAATCCATCAGGTATGTAAATTGGTGACTTTTGTTTAGTTTTGTAAAATGTGATGACTCCAGGAATAGCAGGATTCAATTTCTGGTGCACTACCCCCTTGTGAGGTATAATTTGGATAACACTTTTCCTTGTGTTATCTCATTGCTGGGGATGTCATGTTGATACCAGATGAGAGCAGGAAACCACCAGCTGCAGAACAACGGCACCATTCTGTACATAAAAATAGCACCCAGAGCCTACAGAATTGGGCAGTCCAGAGACAAAAAGAGTGCAAATATAAATCGGACATTCCAGGAATCAGGGAAGGGAAACTTTCAAACCCTCTCTAAATGTGAATCTTCAATCTGCGAAGGTGAGCAGACATTTCCATAGCAATTATCAAATGGGCAGTATTCGATACCAAGTCAAGCACGACCCACTTGGTTTGTTTTAGGTTTATAAAGATTATCACTCACTCTGGGTCATCATGGAAATCCTGTGGTTCAGCCAGTTCGTCATACTCAGCTGCAGCATCTTTTCCAGCGAGGACAATCTCCTTTGAAGGAAGAATGACCTGAAATAGAGATGTAGTAGAATGGGAGTTAGTACCAACTGAGTGCTTCAGGAGGAGGGAAGGTATAGTCAGTGTCACCTGACAAAGAGATGGGTAGGGACAGTGAGCACTAGCTGATTTCCAAGGGGCTGGGGGGTGTTCAAGGGAATTAGTTACAAGTCCAGGATCAGGAGATGAGGCAGTCAGTGATGGTCTGACCCTTGGGGGGTGAGGGGCTCAGTGCTGGCCAACATCAGGGGGTGGTCAGTCAGCACCAGCCTATGGCTGAGAGGGGTTATTGGGGTTTAGGGCCAGCAGCTATTGGGTATTTTTTTTTTGGGGGGGAGGGGGAGGTGGTGGTGGGCAGGCGGGCCTGGTGGTGGTGGAGGTTTTGGGGACAGCAGTAGGTACCAACCACTAACAAGGACTATTTGCCTGTTTAGAAGGTCAGGGGTGATCTAATCAACATTTTTAAAATCACAATGGAATCTGGCAAAGTAGATCTAAGGAAAACAGAGATAGAGTGAGGTGAGAGAGAGTGAGAAAGGGGAGGGCAGGAGGGAGGAAAGAGAGGGAGAAGACAGCGCGCGCGCATGGGTGAGAGCGAGATGAAGGTGCATAATCTTAAAATTACTGCCTGGACTTTCAAGGAATGATGTCAGGTAGCACTTCTTCACGTAAAAAGGGTATTGAAAATCTGGAACTCAACCAGAGTTTTTAAGGTTGGGACTGATTGATTTTGTTGGGAAGGCTATAAATCCAAGAAAAGTAGACTGAGTTAAGGTACAGATCAGCTGAATGGCCGAACAGATTTGAAAGGCTTCCTCCTCCTGCAATTGACTAAGGATAACACGGGGCTTGTGATGTCTGGCCGAGTTCTGTTAGCTGTCCTGGGTGATCAGTGGGGATGGGTTTTTCACCCCAGAGTCAGAAAGTGGGCTGGACAAGTCAGAATCTTGAGTGAAGCCTGCTGAAGGCAACTGATAATTGACAATGTGCCGTACACTCACAGGTAGCTGGGACTGGAAAATTGGGCAGGTTTGAAACCCTACCCCTCAGAAGCACATGAGAAAGAAACAGTTTAAAAAAAAGGTTTGAAAGTGAGTTTGCATTAAATAAAGCAGGCGGTGGCTTACATTCCTCATAAATCTCAAGTTGTCGATTTAATGGTTTGAAATCTTCCCTGAACTTTGCTTTGGGTAACAGCGAGATATGATAAACAAAACTGGTGCCTTAAACGGGCTGTTTGTTGCCGAGAACTATCTTGTCAGAAACAGGAAGGTGCTCAGTATTAACACCATCAGCTATCTCAAGTCACTCAACTTCTGCTCTGCGTGTAGTAGTTACTTTAGTTCCATTTCCAAAACCTTCTCCCCAAACCCACCCCTCTGACACAGAAAGCAGCTGGAGGAGACAAAAGAAAGAGGGGAATGAGGAGAAGCCAAGGGTTGTGCGGTGGTGAGTGGGGGTAGCAGAAGGGAAAAGGAGATGGGCGCACAGGGAGTTGAAGCAAGGAGTGGTGAGTGGGGAGATGAAACTCAGTGACGGAGAAAAGAGTCCAGAGACAGTGTTTAAGAGTGTGGGTGAGTGAGTGAGTGAGTGAGCGAGTGAGTGAGCGAGAGTGAGCGAGCGAGCGTGAGAGTGAGTGCGAGTGTGAGAGTGCGTGTTTGTATGTGTGCGCGCATGCAGAAGGCAGCTAGAAATAGGGGAAAACCAGAGTTAGATAAGGAGACCCTCAACATTTGAGTGAAAAGGAGAGGCGTAAGGAGAAGCTGAGCATGACAGGGAGGCAAGAAGACATTCAGTTTTAGAAAGGTGAATAGCCCAATGTTGGAGGATGAGGAAATCCCACTGTTATTGAGCTTAGAGACATGAAGAAAGTCCTGATTATTACGGAGTCAAGGAGATATGTTAAAGCAGTCAAATCCTAGGGAAAGATGGGACAGGGCTATAAATAAAACTGAGGGTGCCAGCTGAGCCTGGAAAAGGCGAGGTGACGGCAGAGCAAGCAGAGATCTGGGACTGGTATTTGGGATTCATGAAAGCAGCAAAGGTTTGAGGAAATGACCTGGAGCTAACAACAGGAGCTGGCAAGCATGGTCTTAGCTGGGCTAACAATTGACTACAGGAGGATTTGGAACAATCCAGGTCCAAATATTGGGCAAGAGATGGGTGCACAATAATTCACATCGGTCATTGCAGAGAGGGGACTGTCATGCTGTTTTAGTCTCGTATAAGCAAAGGAGCCACAAAGACCATTAGGGCAAGCATAGGGTCGCAGAAATACAGAGAATTATTACCTAACAGATTGAGAATTTTATTGATAAAGTTCTCCCCCTGCCCCAGGACTTTGTTACCTTTGCAGTGCTGTGCACATTGTCGGGGTCTGCCTCTTCACAGGGCAGAAGAGTAACATGTGTGAGGTTCTCCACAGGGTTAGTGAGTGTCAGAAGCACTTGACTTTCCTACAAACAGAGCATCAAGAACATAAACCAAACTACATTCCTCATTCTGACCAAAAATCTACACCCTACCCTTTTCCACATCAATCTGCTTGCTGACCTCCCTCCCACACGTAAAGCTCTGCCTGACCAGGACATGACAGAAGCTGGGCGGATGAATGAGAATCTTGGGCTGGGGCTGCAGCACATTTAAGAGCCACAGCACCAAACCTGATCAACAGCTGACTGAAACAGAGATTCAGGTAAAGTTTTTTGATGGAATGGACTTAAGGTAATATTGATTTAAATTTGAATAAATCAATCACTGCTATTTCACTGAAACTGATTATAGAGGACAACTAATTTTCTGAGCAGCTGACCAAGAACCAATTTGAAGTTGCTTGAAAATTATCTAATAAATTGTATGAATTGTTAAACGAAAGACTGATCAAGACTAGATTGCCCAAGATTCCTTTTGAGACTGCACATCCAAATATGGAAATTCAGTCCACAAACTGGCAAGGCACTAAATCATACTGTACTCACCTTCATGAAGCGCATGTTAGGAATAGACAGAATTCGGACTTCTGGAATATAGTTCCTGCAAAAATTTAAAAATTGGAACAGGCTGAGTTTCAAATAGTTTAAATGGAGAACAGGTACCAATTTTACAGCTCCTGAGCTCCGGTCACTAACAGTAAGGTCGATCACAAACATGTAGCAAATGTAACTCATATTCAAATGGTAAATTTACAAACTACAACATTCAGTTGTCAATCTCCCAAATCTTCACCGAATGTATGTTCGTATACCTTGATGAATGATGCATTCCTATTGTACCTGTTACAACCCCAGATATTCTAAAGTGCCTTACAGTCAACAAGAGCTTTGAAAGTGAAAGTAGAAAGGGCTGGAGAAACTCAACAGGTCTGACCGTATCTATCGAGAGAGAAAGAGAGTTAATGTCAAGTCCAATATGATTCTGTTTTGTGTTCCACAGATGATCCCAGGCCTGTCGCATTTCCCCAGCACTTTCTACTTTTATTTCATATCTCCAGCATTTGCAGTTCTTTGTTTTTACGTGAGAATTTTGAAGCTCAGTCACTGATGTAACAGGAAATTTATGCATTCAATCTCTCAAGCAGCAATAAGATAACAACCAGATAGGCTTTTCTTTTGTAATGTTGATGGAAGGATAAATCTTAACCTGATTACCAGATTACCCAATTAATTTATTTGCTATTCGCTGATAGCGCTATGGGAACTTGCATGCTCCCCTGTGAGGTCAGACAACATCTCATACGCAAGACTGATTGCACTCCTTCAAAAATCTGACCGTGCTATAAGCTGGCAGCTGGACAAGAAGAAAACCCTTTCACCCCATCACATAAAACCAAAGACCTCATTCAGCTGCCTTGCCACTTCACTAACAGTGGTTTCTGAGCAGCTGCAGGGACCCTTAATAAGTTCGGTGCCAACTTATCCATGCTTAGTTTTGAAAATTTGGACGATAACATGCCAATTTGTCCCTTTCCTGACCTGTGAACTCAGTCACTAACTCATTGAGAGCTTCATGTTCCCTTTATTAAATAAAAACCCTGAGTGATATCCTGAACAATGTACGCTGACAGCAAGGATGGTATTTTTTCTCTCCTTCTTGCTGTGGTTAGGGTGCTTTTGACACTGTGAAGATGAGCTGATACAGCACGGCGTGTCTCCACAGTTTGCGCAGCCAAAGAAAAGTCAATCATCTCCCCTCTGGGAAACGTGCTTCGTGTAAACAGGACATACCACTCTCTGCTGCACTCAACATGCTACAAGTCTGGAAACATTGCGTGCGAGAGAGCAATGTATCACAGGAAACCTGCGCAGATTATTAATACAGCATTACCTTACACTGGGACGGTCAGCTCAGAGCACCATCATATTTCCAGCTGATTATTATAACCATTACACATAGGGAAGGATATAACTGATATTGTACGCTGGGGAGGAATATTGGGAGGGAACAGGAAATAAGCAGTGCCCCTAGTACTTCACCTCCTCACTGTGATGCTGGCACCTGCATTAAAAGCGATTAAAACACTTTACAAAAAAATTTTTTAATGTAAGGAGCTGTTCCACGATACTGCAGGGTGAAAGTTGTTGCAACAGACGCTGTGTGAAGCTGTTCAGCCCAACCTAGAAACCACTACAAGAGAAAATTCCAGAGATTTCTCAGTTCAACCCCAGCATAATGCATGTGATGCTTCAACCTCGCACAGAAGGCATCAAACCGAATTGTGTCAGTCAGAAACAGCTACATCTATAAATATTTACCTTCAACAAAAAGTGCAATTATATTCAAAAGCATAAATGCTACTGAAAAGAGATTTGAGAAAGAAAGTGCTCCTTGGTCATTTCTTTAAGATCTTATGCTAGGCCAGGGATCAGCCTTTGCACATTGTTTGCTGGGGGTTGGGGGGGGGGGGGGGGGGGGGGGGGGGGGGCAGGTGGACAGGGGACATTCCAAACTCTCTCTTCTGGGAGGTGGGGAGAGGGAGCAAATTTTAGAAAGGTTACAGTTGCCACAACACTAAACATGAACTTCATTAAAAACTTCCAAAACAATAAATTGGTAATTTAAATGAGTACTAGCAGTAAACATTGAAAAGCAGCAAGCAGCAAAGCTTGGCAATACAGCCAATTTTTGCTTGTTTGGTTAAAACGTGAAACCAGAGAGAGAAAAAGAATCAGACCCAGCTGATGATCACCAGGGAGGTGGGTTAAAAATGTGAGTTGAGGTAAGGAGTTGGTTCAATTAGCTTTGGTATTGTCAGGTTGTGCACACTCTGAGCTGACCTCAGTAGAATTCATGGCCTGGGATTTCCTTCTTTCTTCAGCCCATCTTCCCTCTCTCTTCCACACTCTCCCTCCCTCTTTTACTCACTCACCCTTTCCTCCCTTCATGCCCTGCTTTATCTTTAATTGAAGCTCTAGTTTCAAACAAAACAAAAACTAAAACAATTGACTTTACACTTTTTCCTGGTCTATGCTCCTTCTTGTGTAAGGTTATGTAATCACTAATTATGGAAACTCTGTGAATGATCTGTAAATTTGCTTATTATTAGATACCATCTCATATTAAATGCTCTGGCCTAGTTGTCCACCCCTATGCTAAGCATAGAGTCATAAAGATGTACAGCACGGAAACAGACCCTTCAGTCCAACTCATCCATGCTGACCAGATATCCTAAATAAATTTAGTCCCATTTGCCAGCATCTGGCCCATATCCCCCCAAACCTGTCCTATTCATATACCCATCTAGATGCCTTTTAAATGTTGTAATTGTACCAGCCTCCAGCACATCCTCTGGCAGCACATTCCATACACACACTACCATCTGTGTGAAAAAGTTGTCCCTTAGGTCCCTTTTATACCTTTCCCCTCTCACCTTAAACCTATGCCCTCAAGATGGAAAGCACTACCAGAAAAGTTGGCGGAAGCAGATTCAGTTGTAACGTTCAAAACAGAATTGAACAAATGCTTGTAAAGGAAAAGTTTGCAGACTACAAGGAAAGAGCAAGGGTCAGAGCAACTGTAGATACTTTCTGATCAACCTGCTCAGATGTTCATACACAATTCAGAAGCAGGTGGGACTTGAATCTACTGGCTCAGAGGCAAGGCAATTATCAGTGTGTCACAAGAACCCACTGTAGCTATTTCAGAGAGTGGCACAGGTATAGAACATAGAATGTAGAACAGCACAGCACAGGAACAGGCCCTTCAGCCCATGACAAACATGACACCAAATTAAACTAATGCCTTCTGCTTGCCCATGGTCCATATCTCACCATTCCTTGCTCAATCATGTGTTTATTTAAAAGCCCCTCTAATGCCCCTATCTTATCTGCCTCCATCACTACCCCTGGTAGCACGTTCCAGGCACCTATCACTGTGTTAAAAAAACTTGCCCCCGAATCTCCTTTGAACTTTACCCCTCTTACCGTGAATACACAAGCCCGAATACTAGACATGTCAATTTTGGGCCACATGGTCTTCTGCGATAGTGGGTGCTTCCAGAAGGCTAATCCTTATTTATGGGACATGGGACAATCGTTACACACAGTGTTTCAACCATCCATACGTTAACACCAATGCCCCAAATAATGCTGACTGCTTGAGGGTGAATCCCCTGGTTAAGTAAAGCATGTGTCAACTGAAAAAGTTAAATTACTGAATTCTAATTCTAACACTGTGTACTCATAAGTTGATAAACAGCCTTTTCTCTGGATAACGATACAAATATTGAACTTTACAAGATAGCGGTGCGATAAAATTTCTCTTTTAACTTACGGTAAAAAAAAAATGACCTGAATGGGAAGGAACTGTGATATTAACTCTACCCTGAGACAACGCCACATGATCCATACAAATCTATAAAAAACAAAGTGGCAATTTTCACACCTTTACAGAAAGAGGGACATCTGCTTTAGATATATAAAGAGGCAAAAGATTTGCTTCCATGTAGGTGCAGCAACAAGGGCTGCAGTGAACAACAGGGTGCACTTTTTTAAAAAATTAACAACTAAATGAAATGGTTGTAATAGTTTGTTTGCTGCTCCAAAGGAAAAGGGCAGAGGGTTTTGAAATTTAAGGAACAAGGAATTGCCAAGGCAGACTATGCTGGTCTAAGACTGTTCTGGGATATTCAGTCTTAGACAAAATTTTTGAAGGGTATCAGAAGATTCAACATGGTGTGGCAGTGACAAGTGAACCTGTTGAAAGTTAGGAGTGCCTTGCAAGCAAAAATGCATTCCTCATCTATCAGAAATGCTTGCCAGCGAGATCCACATTCCACGAAAGAATTAAAAATAATTCTATAACTGTTTAAGTAGCCACTTGCAGCAATGAAACCTATGGTTTAATAACACATGGCAGGAAAGCAACTTCAAAATGATGAGAGATTTTGATGGAATAGAGACAGAAAATTATTTGCTCTGGCAAGTTGGTCAATAACCAGGGATCATTGATTCAAAATCATTGTCAAAGGATCTAAAGGGGTGAGGAGGGAAAAAAGCTGTCCTAGTCCAAGGGTTGTCAGGATCTGAATAGCTCAATCTGAAGGTGAGGAGTATGGCAACATGAATATTTTTAAAAGTGAGTTGGACAGGAAACTGATGATAAGGAACTTAGAAGGTTACGGCGATGATGATCTGGGACTAAGTAGGACCGCTCTTTCCAGGAGCCAACAGAGACAGGATGGGCTCAAAGAGCTCCTTCTGCACTGCAAGTTTCAATAATTTTACTTACGTTGCGACTTGTGGGATCTTCTCTGTAAACTGTAAGGTGTGAGACAGTGAATGTGACAAACGGGGGACACCCAAGGTTGTTGGTTAAGCTGACACATGAAGACAGTGTCTGCTGACACCAACCATCCAATGATAAATTCTGACTGTGCAAGTTAATTTCCATTTTTTTCTAAATCCATGTTTTAAAAATTTTAAAAATCATTTTGAAGCATTTTCTCCTCATTGATATACTTTTCATTAATTTTCTTTAATTATTATGGGTTGTTAGGTTATTATTCTTTATTTCAAAGACTTTGCTGCCGCTATGCATGCTCCTGGGTGTCAGCAAACATAGCCATACATTCATGTGTTAACAATTCACTAACGATAGAAATAATATTTTGCTGTTTGTCCTCTCTAAGCTATAACTAGAACTCTTCCCTTAGCCTCAACAGACTCAGTTTATTAAAGTTCATTGCCTCATGCTCTCCTTCCTTCATTATCTGTGAAGCTGCACTGTACCCATTTCACAGTTACATCCTTACAGGGAAGGGATACCTAAAAACTGCATACAGTAATGTAACAGCAGTCTATCCAACGTCATGTATATGGTCAATGAAGAAATTTTTGGAAGTGATACCATCACAGGTCCACAAGGTATTGGGTTCTCAGTGTTAAAGGTGCCACATTGGGAACTGACAGAATTGTACATCCACTGCAACACTGGGCTGAGGCCTCCTAGCTCTGCAAAAATGTTGATTCCGGAGTTTAGTAGCAATGGAAATGCAAAATCCCTTCTTCAGTGTACTATCTACATGCTCTTTGTGACGAAAAGACCAAGATGCAAGTAACAGCCGAATAGACTGAAATTCAAACCCAGATACATTCTTGAATTGTCTGGAAATGCTACTGCTGTGCTGAGAAGGTTGACATGCGATTGTAAACATTCAAGGTAATAAACGTTGCAGGCCAACAGGTATTTCACACTGCATATACTACTGTGACTGTCTCCAGGTCAATAAAGACATGACTCCATTGTGATCTGCAACGTATTTGGCTCTTGAATCGATTCAAGTGCTGCAAAGGGGAGCTGGTAGGAATTGAACAGGATGGTGACAAAGTTGAAATCAATAATTACCACTTCAAGTAGAGAGTGATACAAAGCTAAGAGTTATGGCAATGGTGTTGGATTCTGACCCCTCACTCAGAGTGGGATTCCCTAGCATATGCAATCTAATGTGACATGGGTCTTGCAATGCCAGTAACCTAGTTCTGTGCACAGCATGGCTCATGGTACTGTGGTAGTATCTCTACCTTTGAGCCAGGAGACCTAGATTCAAGTCACACCTTTTCCAGAGGTGTATAATAACATTGCTGAACTGGTTAATTAGAAAATAGTTTTTTGAGCCTAGTTTTACAAAGTGCTCAAAGGCTGTCCCAGCCCTTCTATAACCTGCTGGGAACTTCAGAAATTGTCGTAAATATTGAGAGATTGTAACCGGACGAATGGGATATTGTGGTGCTGCAGCGTAAAAGTATTACTTCTTTTAAAAAAAAAGGTGCAAAAAATCTCTCCGAATGCTGGGGTCCCACACTTTGTTACACTATCCAGATGGCCCTGGGCCGTCCAAATGACAGGAAGAAAGTGTAAAAAAAAGAGACCAACCGGTTTCCTGCAGACTTGCACTTTATAGCATACCAAATTAGTTTTTAATCAAACCCGACAGGACTCCAAGCGAGTCATCAATTGTTTCTTCCAAAAAAAAGTGGATCTTTAAGAAGCAATTGCCATCTGCAGAAACTTTCAGATGTATTTTTAAACAGTCTCCAAAGGTTTAAACACTTGGCCTTGTCGACCTATGCTGACGCAGATCCTGGGCTCAGTTCAGACAACAGACTGGCAATCCTTCCTTACAAACTGGTACATTTGCAGAGCTGATGAGACGGAACCATGTGATCACTGACCAAACCACCTCTCCTCATTCAGCACTTACAAGAAACCCAGTTCCTTGTTTCTCCTACTGAAGGCAGCATTCCCACAATGGACACATTGCAGAGTAAGGCTTCAATTCTAAGAAGCATCTCTGCCTTTGGGAATGTGGACAAGTTACCCTGAAACTACAACAGGACTTACCCCTCCAGCATGTTTATTTACTTTGGGGTTTTCAAGGAAAGACATGTCCATTAACTCAAACCAACATCAGAAAGTGTCACGCCATACTCCATAGGTGAGATAGTTCATCAATCCATTTCATTAGTCTCTAAATTTTACAGCATACAACACTGGCTCAACAATTCAGTTCAGCTTCAGATTCTAGTTATACAATTCTAAATGAATATAAACAAAAAATGCTGGAAATCACAGAGGATCAGGCAGCATCCATGGAGAGAAAGCAAACTAACGTTTTGAGTCTAGATGACTCTTCATCTACTAAATTTATATACTTCATTACAACATTGCTTCCCCAAAATATAATTTTTGATCACAGGTATTAGATTTTTCCTCAACGTGGGGCAGTATCAACCTTATACAGGGTTAAAAGCAATTTTCCTCCCTCTTTCTTGGGTTTCTCTTGGTAGTTCGAAAAGCAGAATGGCCTATTTAAAAAACTGGCATAGTTAAGCATGGTCAGAAACTACCTACCCAGGAACTCTGACAATTCACATTCAGTTTTTATCCAGCTCTCAGCTGCAGATTTTATCACTGAACCTCAACAGCTCCTCTACACCTTCCACCATTGGCTTACTCCTCATTCTCTGCTCTGCCATCACTTAAAAGTACTCTGCCTATCTTTAGAAGTGAGAAATCAGAGAATGAGAGCTAGCTAGGAATATAAAAACAGACAGCTGAGTTTCTATAGTCATTTAAGAAAAAGGAATAAGTGAGTTCTGGTCCTCTAGAGAGAGGAGATGAGAAATTAATAATAAAAATAAGGAAACAGTGCATGAATTGAAAAGATATTCATATCCGTCTTCACTGTAGAGGATAAATAATTTTCCACAAATAATTTTGAATCAGAAGCTGCAAGGGAGGGATACGCTTAAAACAATTACAATCTTCAGGGAACAGCTATACAGAAAACTGTTAGAACTAAGGGCTGATAAGTTCCCAGGTTCAGATGAACTTTAATCTAACATCTGAGAAGTGGCTGCTGAGATAGCAGTTGCAGTGGTTTTAATTTTCCAAAATTCCCTAGATTTTGATGTCCAGTAAAGAGGAAATAGAGTAGACATAAATAGACCATCTTCAGGTTGGCAAGATGTGACAAGTGGAGTGTACAGGAATAAACGTGGAGTTTCAATGGAGGTTGCATGATGTGGACAAAGGGTGCAGTCAACGAATTTCCTGATGGTACAAAAATAGGAAGAAAATAAGTTGTAAAGAGAACAAATGGATAAAAATCCATTAAGTGAGCCTGCAGAGATGTGGCAAATATGGGAGCATAATTTGGGAAAATGTAAACTTGCCTACTTTGACAGAAAGAATAGAAAAGTAGCGCATTATTTAAATGGCGAGAGATTGCAGAACGCTGAGGCATACTTACTGAATAGAGGAGGTGACAGGTGTGGGTAAATGACTTACTCCTAACTCATATACGATGGGAACACTCTCCTTAAACTCTCCATATGCAAAGTGCTCCTTCCAACTGCAAAACCCTTTGTAAATATAGATGTGCACTGCCATATAAACTATCTTTTGCTGATACAGAAAGATATTTTCACTTGATTTCGTGATAAACGTTTGAGGAGTAGTGATGAGATGATCAAACAAAGTTTAATGCTGCAAATGAGAGATGACCCCTTCCTAACGCGCACACTGTAAGATGCAATCTGAAAGTCAATGCAATATGACCATTTAAGCAAAAACTCAAAATTCTCTCAAATAACACTTATTGGCACCTACCTTAAATTATAACAGTAACTACATTTCCAAAGTACTTCACTGGCTGTGAAAGCACACTGGGACTGTGAAATGTGCTGACCAAATTCAAGCTGTGCTTTCCTCTTTTACCTCACACTGGAGATTATTTATAATATGCAAAATGTTCAACAAACTGCATCCAAAGCAAACCTAATAATCATATATAGATTACTGAGATAAATCAATGTTTTGCTCAATATCTTGGCAACACCTGGAGTCACATTTAAAGATCTCAAACCTTTCTGTTACGTGCATCAAGTCTCTAAACACATATCGTTATCATTCTGTATTTAAAAGTTTCATAGGGACATTAAAATAGCCATTTTAGATTCAACAAATAGCTAAAATTATAGAAGGATAAGTGCAAGGAGACAGATACAGATTATTTCCAATGATTAAAAATGTAGTAACAGAATACAGATGCAAAATTAAATGACATATTTAGGACAGCAAGTAGAAAAAACCTTGCACATTGAGAATTGGCAGACTACAGAAAGCACCAGTGTTTGAAACTGAAAACATGGCATAATTTAGCAACGTATTAAATAGTGAGAGCAAAGCAGTAGGGAGGGCAGCGAAGGAATTTAGAACAGGGTGGAAGTATGGGACTAGGACAAGCCCACGTGAGGGATAAACAGCGCAATTTGTGTGTTATAATTTCTAGCGAACGTACATAACACTTGCAACCATGAGTTTTCAATTCCAATCTTTAAAAGCAGACTTCCGTTCCTAACCAATGAACAAGCACAGCATGGAATTCAAAGCCAAGTCTCAGCGTGAAGAGCCATACTCACACAGCAACCAGCTGGATCTTGAACTTGATGGAAGTCGGGTTAAACTCAGGCTTGCTCAAGTTGTGTTCACATTTCTGTAATGTCAGGGTGATGGGAGCGTGGGAGGAAAAAATACAAAACTAAAACGATGATTTCCAAACTCATGCACAATTAGCCATCGTTAAGTTGATTTTAAACCACAGTTGGACAGGCTCTTTGGAAAGGGTGGGAATGTCACCTCCTTAGGAACAGCTTTTCCAGAGATACGCAGACTTATATAGCTACAATGAGGGAAATAATTGGGCTATTTTTTGAAAGAGAGTTAACTCCTTGTGTGTTCAATCAATAATGTTTAATACAGTTGCAGAAGTCACATTCTGGAAATCTCTGATATTTGGAATAGGAACTTCCAGATCCAAGTAGGTCACTGTGGCTAGACTGAGCCCCTAACTCCCAATAGCTGCATTCTCAATACACTTCACATGCGAATGGGTTTTTATTTAGGAGCTGCTGGCGCTGGGTTAACTTTATTCACAACTTTAAGAGGCATGTGAAACATATTAGTGACATTTTATTCAAATTGTTGCAAGTATACACAGTATTTACATTGCCTGCCATATTTTCACGATTCTGAAGCCAAAAGGCATCTGCGAGCCTGAGCAGGCCTTCAGGGTAAAGAAAATGAGCGTCCCTTGATGGTTGAAATGAAAAGGACTCAGATGTGTGGAGTTCCAAACAGGACTAACCACAGCATGTAATATTGTAAACTATCATCTGTCCAACCCACTTTGCCCCTTAGTCACTGCCATAAATCTCCATTTTAGCCATTTTGTGTGGATTTCAGGGTCATAGTATGGAGCATCAAATGTATCCTTTCCAATCTACTGCTGCAGGTTTATCACACTCTTCCTCTCCCAAGAACTTCCATTCTCCATTGAAGTAAATATCCAATAATTCCCATGTCTGGTATGTATGGAACCAGAAAATGCTGCTGATCAATGTCATTCCCACTCCTTCAGCCTGTAGATTCAATCACTGGATTAAAATCTATTTCCTTCCACCAATCATATGTAAAGGGGATGGGGGTCATCCTAAAATGAGAAGAGTTAGGACCCAATATCAAAGCAGGAACAGCCTATAGCTCACCAAGCTCAGCAAGGCAAAAGCAATAGGAGGATTGAATGGGAGCAAAATCCCATTGATGCGGTTGGGATCAAGCTTCTGAGATTGGATGCAAGGTACATTATGAACAGAGTTGGCAGGGAGCCTTGCACAGCCTCAGCATCACACAGTCTAAGATATTCTAGAGATTACCTCTCCACCATTCTTCCCAGGCTAGAAATTTCACTAGGGGACATAAGTTTAAGTTAAAAGGGCGTAGTTTAACGGAGATGTGAGGGGCAAGCTTTTTACACAAAGGTAGTAATGCGCTGCCAGAGGTGGTGGAGGCAAATAGCAACATATAACAGGCACCATGACAGATACATAAATAGTCAGGGAATAGAGGGATACAGATCTCATAGAAGCAAAACATTGTTTTAGTTTAGAAAGGCGTCATGTGTCGACGCAGTCTTGATGGGCCGAAGGGCTGGTCCCTGTGCTGTACTTTTCAACGTTCACTGACTGCCACTTCACTTCTAGGAACAGCCAACATACAGAGGTCCTGGCCTTCCCGCCAACAATATTTACAGCTCCTTGAAACCATCATTCATTTTTTGACCTGTCCCTTTTACCTTCTACTAATACTTATTTTATCGATTAATCATACCTGCCCTCCACCTCGTCTGAGATCCTCTCCTTTAAAATTAAAAGCACACAAACTGTGTGATGCAAACAGTTCATGTTGGTGTTCACATTTCACACAAACCCCTGCCACTCCTCTGCACATAAGCTTTACCACTGTTCTTCTCCTGCTCCCCACACACTTTCCCAGGATCTGCATTCGCTTAATAACACTTTATAGTTCTGATGAAAGGTCATAGACCTGAACCGTTAACTCTACTGCCAGACCTGCTGAGTACTTCCAGCATTTTCTGTTTTTGTTCCAGTGTTTTAGACATCTGTGCAGGCAGCAGAAAACGCAAGTCGCTGAATAAAGAGTCAGCCATGAGATATGAATCTTTGGAATCCTTTTCTTCAGCAGAAGCTTAGTAATTATGTGTAAAACTGAGGACCATAAATCAAGTGATGTGAGGACAGGACAGAAGTGTCAGTCACGGTAGATGAGTCATGACCTTTTCGAACTGTGGAACAGGCTTAGGAGGCTGTGTGTCCAAACCGCATCCTATCGTGTCACTCCATCTCATAATAAACAACAAACCATTGCTGCCCACACACCCCCAAGCTCCCAATCAGACTCACCCGACAGCGCAGCGAGCGCTTTATCAGCAGGTGCTTGTGCTTTGGGTACAGCTGGGATGCAGAGATTGGCTGAAAGTCAGGCTGCAACAGTCTTTGGTGAAGGGTGGTCACTGCATGGATAAAAACAAAGAAACTAATTAACAGATTATTTCACCAGCCTTTTTCATTCACTGAGTACTTAGAATCCTGAAATCACATAACTGTTGAAGTACTTTTGGCCCATGTTGTCCATTTCAGCACTGTGCAAGAGCAACACAGCTCGACCCACTCCCAATTTTCCATGTGACCCTGCAAGTTTTTTCACTCCATGTGCTTTTACAATTCCCTTTTGAAATCCATGATTGTGGGTCTTGCTGCTACCATCAGGTATTTATTAAGAACTTAGTCGGAGCTCATTCACACTGCAAAATCAGTTTACAGACAACTTTCCATTGTGATTCCAATTCTGAGGAAGGGTCATTGGACCCAAAATGTTAAATCTGATTTCTCTCCACAGATGTCACCTGACCCGCTGAGGTTTTCCAGCAACTTCTGTTTTTGTTCCTGATTTACAGCATCCGTAGTTCTGTCATTTTTTTTCCATTGTGACGGATTGGTGAGGTTAAATTAGCCAATGATTCCAAGCATCATCCACAAAACCAACCTATCACCCAGACAGTAAAGAAGTGTGAGTACTGAACCTCACAGCCAGGAGTCGCTACCTTACACCAAACTGTCTGATCTCAGTTGGGACAGGGTTACAGGTGCTAGGAGTGCACACAGTAAGAATAGATTGCAGGATGTGGAATTGGCCAGGGCTCCACTCAATCAAACATGACCAGTAAGTTCAAATACACACACAGGCTGGGCAAGATCAGATCCTGCAGTGTCCCAACTCTGAACAAGGGGAGGATAAATATCACATTTCACTGACTGTCCAATCCAGGTTCATAATGGTGCGGATGTTTGGCTATGGATTTGAAAAAGAGCCTGGAGACCTTATAACTGGTCCTCAAAGAGTGACGGAAAACCAGATTTAAAAAGCCACGATAGCCACCTTCAGCTCCCTGACCAATGGCGCTTCTACAATGAAGCATCACCAATACCTGGTAGCAAGTCTGCGATGCCACATGGGAATAGATCTAGAGAGCAATCATGGAAAAACCAATGTAATATTGAGGTCCACTCTTATTGTAATCAATACAAGCCAAATAATATTTCAGCTTTCAACAGACAGAACTCAAAAACTCTAAATATATAGTTCTCTTCCCAACTCGTGTCAGCAGGACTAACAGCGGTATACTGGGTGGAGTTAGAAGGTTGTGGGTTGTAGCCTTGTACTTAAATTCTTAAACCCAGGGTGATGTTGCAGTACCACATTTGCAGCTGCTACGATCAGGGTAGCCCACAGCTTTCTCATGCTGAGCTTTCCTACTGGAGGAGAGGACCATTTTTCCTGATTCAAAATCACACAAGACTAATCAGAAAGCAGAGTTCTCCCTCAAACGATAACACAGAAAAGAAACTCAACTAACTGGTCACTACTGATTGTGGGACCTCTACTGTAAAAGCACTGGTTGCTGCATTTACACGCAAAAAAAAGAACTGACTGCAGTACAAAGCAACATGAAGGACTGTGCATCCTCCAAGGACATAAACCATGCAACAATAAGCTAGTCCCTTTCTTGTGACACTGACTCTTGGCAATTTGGCTACAAAGCTGTCCCAGGTTCCACTAATACTCCTGCCCTGCCAGCAGGCTGACAGATTGTGTCTGAGGACATCACGAAATGGCTCAATCCATTTTTCCTCAATGTCCAAAATACTCTCTAAAAGTAATCATTGGTTCACTGACATTTTATTCCATCTTCCCCCCCATTTTATCAGACTCAGGACACCAAGAACTGCAAAGCTTCCACCCACATACAAACAATGATCAGCCAATTCTCTTACACATTAGGGACTCACTGAGCATTGGTCTGTCCAAGCCAATTGGCTCAGTTTCACATCTGGCAATGTATTTGCGCAGCAGGATAGTGGAAGAACTCAACATGCATGATTGCTATCACATGGGAACTTCATTTGATCTTGACCAGATTTTTGTCCACAAACATCTGCCTGCATGTTAAGTCCACATTAATCCATCAGAAAGGATATAAATGTTTCTGCATTGAAGTTAGTTGCAAAGTCAGTCAGGGTTTTACTGAATCCCACATTCAGCACATGGTGCATGTATCACAGTTTGGCTTGGTTATTACCCTCTGGCAGGTTCAGGGCTCTAGTGTAATAATCCTCTGGAAGCGGCTCTACTTCCTCCAACGGCTGGGCTGGCTCGATCTTTATCTCTTTGTGGTCTTCTGCCTCTTTCAGCCTACAAAATGATGACACACAATCAAGAAATCCAGTTAGCTGAAGTATAATTTAACTGACTCTTATGCTGAGGACACCTTCTTTTATTTATTCATGTATGGGATGTGGGCATCACCATCCAGGCCAGTATTTATTGCTCATTCCTAATTGCCCAGAGGGCAGTTAATTACCAACTATTTTGCTGACAGTCTGGAGTCACATGTAGGTCAGACCAAGTAAGGATAGCAGTTTCCTTCCCTAAGGGTGAACCAGATGGGTTTTGCTGACAACCGACATTGGTCTCATGGTCACCATCAGACTCATATTTCCAGATTATTATTGAATTCTATTTCCATAATGTACCATTGCAGAATTCAAATCCAGATCCCGAGAACGTCACCTGGGTGTCTGGATTAATAGTCTAGCGATAATACCACTAGGCTACCACCCACTGTTACACCATTCTCAGTAAAAGGCTAGTAGAGAAGCTGAAGGCCAAAAGATTCGCTTATGCAAAGATGTAGGGTTATTTTTTCACTGGAGTCCATCTGTAGTTGCCCCGAATGACCATTCCTAATCTAAGACAATCAGTAAGATATTTTGACCATGGAAGCATCACAAGCATTGTAATATGGTGCCCCTATTCATTAATACATACTAGGGGGTTCTGAGGAAGAATCACTGGACCTGAAACATTAACTCTAGACTTTTCTCCACAGATGCCAGCAGACCTGCTGAGCTTTTCCAGCAATTTCTGCTTTTGTTCTGAAGGGGAACTCCTGTTACATTTCAGCCCATATGACCCCCAAATGCCTTGCTGAGCATTGAAAGACTGTCTACTGCTGCATCCTGGATGGGATGAACCCAGTCAATAAAGGTCTGGGATCGAAACTGGGATGTAGCACAATTTACAGAATTGAATGTCTCACTATCACAATGCATTTCTCAGTTTAAAGAGTTAACTGCTCATGCAGAAGGCACCAAGTTGCTAAAACATGTGGCAAACAGCTTCCTTGCAGAGCTCACAGGAGCTACACCACTTGCAGTGAGATACTTACGTTGACCCAGCAAGGGTAATGATAGGAGCCCCAGATCGCTGCCGCTGCAGTCTCGTACCTAGGCCATACTTGTCCTGAAACAAAATCCATTAAGATTACAATTGGCATCGAACTGAATTATAATTACTTACATAGTTATGACAAGGTGTTGTGGAATAGCGGATGACAATTTGATGAATAAAATTTATCCATAGTATCAATATGTGCCGCAAAATGTATATGAAATGTTCAAACCTCCCTAATCAAACAGTGTTAAACAATCAATACAAGGACACAATCTGCCTACTACACAAACAGTGTTTTGAGCTCTTTGAACAGTTGGACACAAACAATAAATTAATCACAAAACATAAGGACTGATGTACATTTTAGGGAGACTTCATAACATAGACAAGTACTAATTTTTATTAATATATGATTGATGACTAAAACATAAATGATAGATCATGTATGACACATGCATATCATATACACAAAAAAAACTGCACACAGACACAAACATATATACCAAAGACATCCTACTAGTCAATAACATAGATTCCCAAAGACTATCTCAATACCAGAAACTAATAAACTAAAGATATTTCCAAACCCAGTATTGTTTATGGATAAAACTCTTCCAGAAACTAAAATTAAGATTATAATTCACCCACCCCAAGTTACCTGCAGCACTGCCTGCTTTACACAGAAGGCAAATTTCTGAAAGGTTCTAAATAGATTATGAAGTTGGTTTGACTTTCTTCCCTAGTTTAAATCAAAGGAGGGTCCACACATCCTAAATCATCATCGGCCCAAGTAAAATGCTGAACATGATATGGATTCCCAATGTAAGATGCAACAACAGTGGATAACTGAATATAGTAACTAACTCACCACCACGTGTATAGTGTGCGTCTGCACATGCGGAACGCAGCAGCATTGAGGCAAAAAAAATCATGATGTAGTTAAGACAGTGCAATTAACACACACAACCTAAACAAGTAAATCTGATTGGACAGGGCTGATGGTGGTCCTTCAACTTTTGGGTCATCCATTGGAAAAAACAAGAGGTTAGGTGGGAGAGTTTCACTCTGAAATACTTCACAAATTTACATAAAGACAGCACATTATTGACGGATTAAATCTCTATGAATAATTGTTTAAACCTTTAAATCTCAGGGTCCTTGTCCTAATGATATCACTTTCCAACTAATTGTGTTACAGTACAGAATTTGTGCACTCTGGAAAAAGCCAGCTACCCCAATGTAAGGGGCAGGGTTTGCAAGAAGGTCAAAGGGGAAGCTCTGTAACAGCCAGCAGCAGAAGATGTGCACCCTCTATGTTGCAAGGATCAACACTGTGATTACTACTTGGACTGCATACAACTACTGATGAGAGATTCCTGTACCAAGAGTCAAGATCAAAGGGAGAACTCAGATACTAGTGAATGAGACAATTTCCCTTTGCAGATATCTAGAACTAGCATCAAGTGCATGTGTCTCAATGATTGGGAATAAAAGCCTTTCAGCATCTCAAGGCTGGTTCCTTCATCATTCAACCAGATTGTGGGTACAAGCGTAGAATTAGTAAAGAAGGAGGGCTACACTGTTGGAGACGACACGCTGTGCTAAAGTCATTAAAGCAAACTGTCCTTTTGGGTGTTCATAAACATCCTAAATTTAAAGAAGTGTGGCAAGGCCTCCACTGCCCTGTATGACATTTATCCCAAAACATCAGTAAGACATTTGACAAATTTACTAATTACACTGGTGTTTGCGTACTCTGCTGCATGCAAATTACCTATGTGTCCTAAACTACAAAGTCATAGCACCTCAAAAATACTTGAGTTGGGAACTTCCAACTTCGAGGCATCCAGAGGCTGCGAGCGACTCTACAGAAATGCAAGATTTGCTTTTTCTTTAAGCAAATTTATCTTAACTTCATCTATCCAGAATGATTCCGAGTCCATTAATATCCCTACATATCAAAAATCTGTCAATCACAGTTTTGAAATTTTCAAGTGATTCCCCAGCCTCCCTAACTTCCTGGGTGTAAAAGTTGTTTGATAGAGTACAGTCAGGTCTTCCGCTCCAAAAACGCGGTTCCAAAACAGAGAATGTGTCAGTTCCATGTTTTACATGCCATTTTAAACAAGATGTTTACAGAATAGAAAAATGACCATGTTATCATACATTACAGAGTCATTTCACCACTACAAATGTTAATTAACACCCTTCCTATTACACACAGACAAAAATAATCGCAAATGCTTCACAATGAAGAAAAATCCTGGTAGATTGTATGCTAAAGGCACATCAAAGTGTTGCTTAACCAGGAACCAATTATACCAAAAAGCTCAAGTGGGCCTGCTTTTCCTGGATGGTGTCAAGCTTCGCAAACGTTGTTAGAGTGCACACATCCCGACAAGTAGGGTGTTCCATCATAATCCTGACTTGTGCCTTGGAGATGATGAACAAGCTTTGGGGAGTCAAGAGGTGAATTCCTTGCCGAAGTATTCCTAGCCTCTGACCTGCTCTCGTAGCCAACATGTTTATGTGGCAAGTGCATTTGAGTTTCTGGCCAATGGTAACCCCCGGATGATGACAGCGGAGGACTCACTATTGAATGTCAAGGGGCAGTGGTTAGATTGTCCCTTATTTGAGATGGACATTGCCTGGCATTTGTGTGGTGTAACTGTTATTTGCCACTTGTCAGCCCAAGCCTAGATACTGTCCAGGTCTTGTTGCATTTGAACATGGACTGTTTCAGTATCTGACCAGTTGTGAGTAGTGCCAAATATTGTGCAATTATTGACAAATATCCCCACTTTTAACCTTACAGTGAAGCAGCTGAAGATGGTTGGGCCTATGTTACAACTCTGTGAAACTCCTGCCGAGTGGTCCTGGAGCTGTGATGATAACCTCCAAAAACCACAACCATCTTTCTTTGTGCCAGCTATGACTCCAAGCAGTGGAGAGTTTGCCCCCTGATACCTACTGATTCCAGTTTTGCTGGGGCACCTTAATGCCACAGTCAGTCAAATGCGCCTTGACACCTCTGGAATGGGCCACATGGTTGCAGATTGTGCTAGAGTACAATTCAATCGCTCCTGATGGCCCACTGTGCTTCATGGATGCCCAGTCGTAAATTGTTCAAAATCTTTCCCATTTAGCATGGTGATAGTGCCACACAATATGATGGAGGGTGTTCTTTTGTCCATGTTTGAACCAAGACTGTAATGAGGTCAGGAGCTGAGTGGCCCTGGCAGAATCCAAACTAGGTGACAGATTATTGCTAAGCAGGAGCTGCTAGATTCCATCACTTTACTGACGATTGAGAGTAGACAGGGCATAATTGGCTAGGTTGGATTTGTCCTGCTTTTTACATACATGACATACCTGGCAATTTTCTACATTGTCAGGTGGACACTAGTGTTGTAGTTGCACTGGAACAGCTTGGCTTGGGATGCAAGACGTTCAGGGAGCACAGGTTTTCAATATTATTGCCAGAATATTGTCAGGACTCAAAGACTTTGGGATATCCATTTCCTCCAACTGTTTCTTGATTTCACGTGGAGGGAACCAAATTGGCTGAAGACTGATATCTGAAATCTGGGGACCACTGCAGGAGGCCACAATGGATCACCCACTTGGCACTTCTGGCTGAAGATTGCCACGAATGCTTCAGTCTTCCCTTTTGCACTGATGTTTTGGGCCCTTCCATCATTGCGGATGGAGACATTTGTGAAGTCTCCTCCTTGAGTGGATTGTTGAATTGTCCACTACGAGACTTGGCAGAATTGCAGAGCTTAGGTCTGATCCGTTGGTTGTGGGATCATTTAGCTCTATTACTTGTTGCTTAGGCTATTTGGCACATAAGTAGTCCTGTTTGTTAGCTTCACCAGGTTGGCACTTCATTTTTAGGTATACCTGGTGCTGCTCCTGGCATTCTCCATTGTACCAGGGTACATCCTCTGGCTTGATGGCAATGTTTGAGTGAGGGATATGCCGGGCTATTTGGTTGCAAATTTTGCTGGAGTACAATTCAACTGCTCCTGTGCTTCACAGATGCCCAGTCATGAATTCTTCAAGTCTTTCCCATTTACGTGATAGTGCCACACATTATGATGGAGGATGTTCTCAATGTGACGGTGGGCCCTCGTCTCCACAAGGATTGTGTGGTGGCCACTCTTATCGATGTTGTCATGGACAAATGCATTTGCAGCCAGAAGACTGGTAAGGAAGAGGTCAAGTATGATTATCCTTCTTGCTGGTTCCCTTACCACCTGGCATAGACCCAGTTTAATAGCTATGTCATGAGACTTCATGGTGTTTGCAGCCAATGTTGAGGACTACTCGGCCAAGACCCTCCCACCTATATACGACTGTGCAGTCAACTCTGCTAGGTCAGTCTTGCCAGTGGGACAGGACATATCCAGGGATGGTGATGGCAGTGTCTGGGGCATTGTAAAATATGTTTCGAGGAGTATGACTGTGTCAGTCTGTTGCTTGACTAGTCTCTGAGACAGCTCTCCCAATTTTGGCACTAGCCCCCAGACGTTAGTAAGGAGGACTTTGCAGGGTCGACAGGGCTGTTTTTGTTGTTGTTGTTTCCGATGCCTAGGTCGATGCCAGGTAGTCTGTTCAGTTTCATTTTCTTTTGAGACTTTGTAGCGATTGCTACAACTGAATGGCTTGCTCAGCCATTTAAGAGGTTAGTTGAGTATACCACATTTGTGTGGGTTTGGAGTCACATGTAGGCCAGACCAGGTGAGGATGGCAGATCTCCTTCCCTAAAGGACATCAGTGAACCAGATAGGTTTTTCTCGACAATCAACAGTGGTTTCATTGTTATCAGTAGATTTTTTAATTCCAGATATTTTTAATAAATTCAAATTCCACCATCTGCTGTGGCATGATTTGACTGGGTGCCCAGACATTAGCTGAGTTTCTGAATTAATACCAATATCACAAGCAATAACACACCACTAGGCCATCACCTCCCTATGAAGGCATAGGCCACAGTGCTGTGAATCAGTTACAGGGTGTGGAGGGACAGAAAATGAGTCTGGGAAGCCAAATTTTTCATGCAATAGAGAAGTGGGCTTTGTGTGTTGCAAGGAAGCAGCAGGAGGCAGTCCCCAGTCAGCTAAGGAGCGACAGGAATGAGATGCAGGTCAAGGTCACGTGTCATGTCAAGGTCCCACATCTCCTGGCACAGGCAGGGAGGTTAATGGCCAAAGGCCATAACCACCAATGATACCTTTGTATACAATAAAAATGTTTTACAGCAGGCCTCCAGAAAAGTGCTGGAGAAACTCAGCAGGTCTGGCAGCACCTGTGGGTGGAGAAACAGAGTTAATGTTTTGAGTCCAATTTGACATTTTCCCAGAAGGGGCTTTAAATATAAGCACTATTTCTCTCTTCGTAGATGCTGCTAAGTCTACTCAGTTTGTACAGCATTTTCTGTTTTGATATCAATGCTATCTCTCCTATTTCCTTCAACAATTTAACAGATATGACAAAAGATTCCTTCATGGAGAACTCACAGAAAAGGCAAGCGGCATGTAGTTTCTGCGTCTAACCAGCTTCTTGCGATCACGTTCAATTTTCTCTCTCTGTGCCAGTTGGTGGTAATACTCCAGCAATTTATTGATCTGTTGAGGGAGGAGAACAAAGAAAATCAGTTTAGAACTTCCATTTAAAATCCACACTGAGCAGTCTCAAGCATATTAACTCCCTTCACTGTCAAGTGAATTAGCCAGACAGAATTGGCAATCTGAAAATAAGGGACAAACTTTTAGAAATCTCTGTTGTATCACTTAGAATTACACGGGAAGTGTAAACATTGTCCATGTCTGTTCGCAACTGCAAAACAGTAAATAATAAAAATTTCAAACCCAATACAGCAAAACCTGCAGATGTTTAATGAGACCTTCAAATTGTTTTCGTAGCATGAAGGTTGTGATATTGGCCCAATAATCCATTTAGCTAACAGTCCAGAAACAAGCCTGAATCCCATCACAGCAGCTGAACGGAGCTTAAATTTAAATCCTTTTACAACTCAAAACATGGAATACAATCTAGCATTGATCATTATCAGAGTCCTCATTTCAGGTCCATATTCTAAGAAGCAAACTTGATGCGTAAAGAAGCAGGAAATGCCACTCAGTCAGTTCCGTGATGCACAACACATTGGACAGATCAGGAGACTGAATAATAAAATTAAACCAGTGCCAGCTCATCCAGAGCTTGCACAATGTAGGCAGCAACTACTGTAGGACTAGAGAACGAAACCAAAGGCCAATCTTCATTTTGAAAGAGATGCTACAATCCAGTTCATTTGACCAGAGATAGGGAATGGTGAAGTGAAATTATCCAGTCTCCCGATTACCGTAGGTTGAACACCAAGAGAATGGAGGGATAGGTGGAGAGGGCAGGAAGGTGAAATTGAGCTAGAACCACATTTTGCACGGTGAGGCAGGTTCAAAGGGCCAAATAGCCTACCCTCTTGCTCCTATTGCTCATAATTCCTACTGGAAAAAGCAAGGATAGCGTCCGATTTGGCTTTGGTGCCGTTACCCTCAACATATATTTGGTTGAAGTTTGTGACTACACACTGTCCCAGTTCATGCACTTGGGGTGCCAGGGAACCTTGGGGCTGCACCCCAGAACTAGTCAGTAAGTACACGAACTGGGTGCTGGGGAAGCACAACAAAACATTACACTCATATTTCATTTGTAACAAGTGTTTGCACCATCAAACTCACCCGCTGGGTATGAGGGTTCTCTGGTTCTTGCCATCCTCCACTGGCTGGAAGAGAAAGAATAGCAGTAGTATATTACACGATGCTGCAGATATAGCATCACACAAATAGGGTAGAGGCCAATGAAAGCAGCGTAATTCAAGCGAGTCCCATAAAACAGAAAAGGTTTGCAGTTGCTTAGCACCTTTTATGGCCTTGAAAGCGCTTTATGGTTATTGGATACTTTTGAAGCGCAGTCACTGTTGTAATGTAAGGAAATGTAACACGCAACTTGTACATAGCAGCTCCTGCAAACTACAATGCTATAATGGCCAGATAATCTGTACGTGTTGTGAACCCAGGACACTACAGAACACTGCCCTGCTCTTCTTTGAAGAGAGCTAAAGGATATTTTGGTCCCACAAGGGGGCAGTTCAGCTGTGGTTTATCATCTGATCAAAAAAAAAAACAGCACACTCTCAGCACTGCACAAGCGTCAGCCTGGATGATAAACTCAAGTCTCCAGAATGGGGCTTCAACCCACAAACTCTGACTCAGAAGTGAGAATTCAAACGCCTCATACTCAGAACTGAATGTAAGGGAAGAATGCATTGCAGCACAGATGTAAGTGAAAAAAGACACAGATAGAATGGAGACGGTTTTTGTTGAGGGCTGGATGTTGGAACCCAGCACTGAACATAACTCTAATGCTGAGCAACAGTGGTCCAGGCTCAGCAAGCTCAGAGATGTTGCTTGCTCGGTTTTGTTGACTATACAGGGGAGGAGGCAGCTCCAACCATCAGGAAGACAGTGTCAATACTGGTCAGAATTACTGGATATCTCCAATCTCATTCTTTCTGTATATACGACCATAACAAATACACCCTCACCTCAGGAACAGAGTACGATAAAACAAGAGAAAGTCCTTCCATAAAAAAAAGTAATCAGTTAAAACTGTGTAAAGTAATAGTGGATACATGAAACTTTGTTATGTATTGTACATGGTTACATCCTGTGCGTAAAACTATTTCAACGGAATATCATAGACATTCCGCAGGGCATGATGAAAATTACACAATTGGGGAGGGTCCAGGAAGAGTTGGCCAGACGTCAGTGTTGAGGTCTTTTTTAAGAAGCAAAGAACACAGACATCAGATTTGATTTAGGGTTCACAATTAGGTTCACACACCAACTAACAGCAGCAGTGAATAAAGGCTGATTTTCACTGACATCCTGTATTCCTTCTTCTCCCTTTCAGGTTCTCCCTGTTTGCAAATAAAATAGCACTACACTGTACAGGAGGCAGCCATTTTGCCAATTGAGGGTCCGCTAGTTCCTTTGAAAAGCTGTCAAAATTAGCCCTATTGTGCCCTCACCATCACTCAGTTGAATCAGCACTACTTACCCACAGATTTGTCAGCCATGCCAACATCCCTAGAAGTCCAGCGGCAGAAACCACAAGCCAGATAGTAAGCTTTCTTCATGGTGGTCTTGGCTGGGTCATCAGGGAGTGGTGCTGGGATATTGGTGGCTCTTGTAGAGAGAGTATGCATGCAGCAAGGGCAGTCAAAACAATTAGCGCACCTACAAAGCACAAACGAATGACAAACAGCAGATATCAGATCAACCTAAATAATCAATTGCTGCAAATCAGTCAGTCTGAAAATCAGTCACTAACACTTTAAAATGCGTGATGGCGAAAGTGAGAATGGAAGACACTTTCAGTCACAGAATCGCAATGGCGTGGGAGGAAATTATTCAGCCCATCGTGTCTGATTCAGCTCTCCAAATGAGCATCTCGCCTACTGCCTTCTCCTCATAACACTGCACATTCTTCCTTTTCAAATACGTCTGATTTTCTTCACAATGTGTGCAATGAATCTGCCTCCACAATGCTCTCAGGACATTCCAGACTCTAACCAATCACTGCATGAAGTTCTTCCTCATGTCACAATTGCTTTTTTTTTTTAAAACAGTTTGCTTTAATCTTTGCCCTCTCGTTCTCAATCCTTTTTGGGTTCCTGGGAGCATTCTCTCAAGAAGTGCATCAGCCAGAATTGTGCCCAATACTCCAGCAGCAGCTGAACTAGCGTATTATAAAATACCACAAAACCTCCCTGTTCTTGTATTAACCAATTAATAGATCCTCAGATACTGTACACTTTATCAACTACTGTCCCAACATAACTTGCAAAATGTAGTAACTTTTGCACATATACACCCAGGTGCTCTTGTCCCCTTTAGAGTTGTACCCTTTATATTGCTCCATTCTCTGAATACCAAAGTATATCACATTGTACTTGTCCACATTAAATTTCATGCGCCACCCATCTGCTCACTGTTATCATCTACTATGGTCTGAAGGGATTCCTGGGATCCAATGGAACAAGAGTGCAGGTGATGGATACATTAATTAAAGGTTAATTGGCTATGAATTCATAGAATCAGAGAATCCATAGAGTGCTGAAAGAGGCCATTCGGCCCATCAAGTATACATCAACCCTCCGAAGGGCATCCCACCCTATCCTTGTAATCCCACATTTATCATGGCTATCCCACCTAGCCTGCATATCCCAGGACACTATGGGTCAACTCAGCACGGCCAATCTACCTAACCTGCACATCTTTGGACTATGGGAGGAAACTGGACCACCCACCAGAAACCCATGCAGACACGGGGAGAGTGTGCAAATTGGCTGAATAAACATAGGGAGCTAGTGAGCAGTAGGCTGAGAGTTTTATGGAGAGTGGTTAACTGAAATTAAGCTCTCACTAAAATGTATAGACTTAGGCATTGTTCAAACACATTTATCTTCACTGCGTAACACCCACTCCTCCAACTTGCTCGAGTCCTTTTGAAGTTCAACATTCTCCTTATAATTACAATACTTCCAAGTTTCATATTATTTGCAAATTTTGAAATTGTGCCCTGTGCCCCAAGGTCTAAATCATTATAGGATAAGCAAGGGTCCTAAAACTAACCACTGCAAATCTTCCCCCTGAATTACATCCATGAACCATTACTTTGTTTCCTCTAACTCAGCTAAATTTATATCTATTTCTCTGCTGTCACTTTTATTCATGAGCCTAACTTCAATTAAAATGCTGTTGTGGCATTGCATTAAATGCTTTCTGAAATTCTTTGTACGCCACATTAAGAGCATCAGCCTCATCAAACCAAAAACTCCAGGAGTTAGTTAAACCTGATTTTTCCCTAGTAAGTCCTACAGGTTCTTCTCAATTACCTTTCAATTAATTTTGTCTCAAACTATTGCTTCTAGAAGTTTTCCAACCACCAAAGTTAAACTGACTGTTTTACCTTTTCCTTGCACCCTTTTGTTGATCAAGTGCGCAATGTTTGCAATTCTCCAGCCCTCTGGCACCACACATGTTGAAGTAAGGCTGAGAAATTTTTTTTTTGTCAGAGTCTCCACAATTTCCACCCTCATTCCTTCAGTAATCTTGGATGCAACGCATCAGTCCTGGAATCTTGTCAACTTTAAGTACTGAAACCCTATCCAATACTCCCTTCAATAGCAATTTAAAATTCTTCTAGTGAATGAGTCTCTTCTCTCACTGTGGCCTAGATATCAACATATTCTTGATAACGAAAGATATCAAGTATCCATTTAACATTTCAATCATGCCCATTGCCTCCACATATAAATCCCTTTTTTGGCCCCTAATCAATCGCACTTCTTTCACCTCATTTTTAAGATTTATATGTCTATAAAAAATTTTGGAATTCCCTTCCGCATTAGCTGCCAGTCTCCTTCCATACCCCTCTTTTTATCTATGATTTTTTTTAAAATTGCCCTTCTAAACTGTCTATATTCAGCCCAGTTATCAAACTGTATTCTGGATCTGACATCAGAGGCATATTTTTCCTTTATCATAATTTCTACCTCTTGTCTTCAGGAGGTTCTGGATTTGTTTTCCTTTGGAGGGAATACCTTGACTGTGCCAAAACCATTTCTTTTTTCTGAAGATAACCCATTGTTCCTGCAAACCTTTCATTCTAATTTTTCGACCAGGTCCATTTTTACCCCACCGAAGATGGCATTCCTCCAGTTAGTAATCCTATTCTAATTATTCATTTTACCTTTATATAGTCACCCTAAACTTTATGATATAGTGATCATGATTCCCCAAATAAGTCCCATTGACACTTGATCTTAATTGACCCACCTCACTTCTAATAATCAAGTCAAGCAGTGCCTCCTTTCTCATTGAGCAGGAAACATACTGCTGGGAATTCTTGCACCTTTGCCCTTTACGCTACAAATACTGCAGTCTATATTTGGAAAATTAAAGTTCCTCCATTATAACTATAATTTTTCTCCCCTCTGCAATTTCCTTGCAAATTTGTGGCTCTTTGTCCTTGCCACTATCGGTGGCCTATTGGCTACATCGAGCAATGTAATTGCACCTTTTTTGTTCCTTAGCTCCAAACAAGACGATTCTGTCATGTTCCACATGGGACCTTCTGTCTTCAACAGTGCAATACCCTCCTTAATTAATAATGTCACCCCTCCCCCATTCCCTCCTTTCCTATCTTTCCTTTACATATTGTCTCCAGAAATATACAACATCCAGTCCTGCCCCTCTTTGAGCTAGGTCTCTGTTATAGCCACATATTTCCACTTGGCAATTTGCACTTCCACGTCAGACTTATTTACCACGTTCCATGTGCTCTCATTCATGCACAGTAATCCCAATTTAGGCTTCATTACCTTCTATCTTACTCTAACCCTACCTATTAATTTACTATTCTCTATTCTAACCCCTGCTCTCTTTCCCAGAACTTGGTACATGTTGGTACACTTCCCTGTTATTATCACCTGGTTCCCATGTTCCTGCTGAGTTAGTTTAAACCTCCACTAACAGCACAAGCAAAATGCCTCAGAAATGACATGTTTCCAGCTCTGTTCAGTCAAAACATCTGGTCTGTACAGGTCCATCTTCCTCAGAGCAATATCTTAAGAATTTAAAGTCCTCCCTCCTGCACAACTTTCCAACCATGCAATCATGTACCTTATCTCATTTCTAGGCTCACTAGTCCTTGGCACTGGGAGTAATCTGGTGACAACTAATTTTGAAGTCGTGCTTGATAATTTTCTACCTAATTTCCTAAATTATAAACGTAGGACCCACAGTCCTTTTCCTATCTACACCATTGGTTCCAATGTGGGCCATGACTGCTGGCTGTTTACCCTCCCTCCCTCCCTCCCAAGGAAACTCTGCAGCCATTCAATGACAGGCTTGATCTTAGCACTAAATTACAATGTACCATCCTGGGCTACTACTTTCGATCACAGAAACATCTATCTGTTCCCCTAATCACCTAACTCTGAGCTTTTCCAGGCTTCCCCACTGAGCAGCTGAGTCACCTGGCTCTAATGCATGCTCCAAATGAACCATCACTCTCATTAGCATTCAGAACTGAATACTAGTTGGAGAGCAGAAACCACTTGGGAGACTCCTGCACTATGTTCCCATTCCCACTGCCTCACCTGGTCCGTTTCCCTCTGCAAACTCTAAAGTTGTGAAAATACTGCATTGAGAAATATGTTATTCTATGTTATCCCTCAGTCTCTCAGCGCATTGCAGCTGCTGCTCAAGTTCCAAAATCTGGAGCTTGAGCTACTGTAAATGACACTTACTCCACAAATGGTAACCAAGGTCACGGGAAACACTCGAGTTCCCACATAGCGAGGGCATGCTTGAGATTTAAATAGCCCTGTGCATTCTCTTTATTACTTAGCCTTACCACTGCTTTTAAAAAAAAAGTTTCCAATACTAATAAACCTTAACAACTTATAATAAAACCTCACTAGTACTGAAAAATCTGGCTAATGCTCAAGACATTTTACTAGTTGAAACATACTTGACTTAAGACACCTTTTTCCCTTGAATTATGAACTATATTCACGCAGGCTTAGTCTCCTGACAACCATTTGTAAATCTTGTCCCTTATACATAGCATAAGTCTCTAATGAGTCACTGCTAGCATAGCTTTCTGCTACAGAAATTAACACTGACTGAACCAATAATTTATAACTGCCACTATCAGGAAAGATTTAGATTGGACCAAAGGGTCTGTTTCCATGCTGTATGGCTTACAACTCTACAATTTACTACGTGGACCAAATTTCGCTACTGCGCTTGATCTAATCCCACTCAGGCATAATCTCCTGACTGTGCACTTCTTAGTTATGTGGGCAAACCTGTAGAAGCTGCAATAGGAAAGCTAGGAGTGAAATTAAGATTTCGTAGACCTAATAGTCATTCACGGCTTTTACTGGCAAGAGGGCCAATGACTCGTGGGCGCAAACTTAACATCATTGGAAATAAACCAGAAGGAGAGATTAGACCTTTTTTTTATTCATTTGTGAGACTCTGCCATTGTTAGCTGGCCAGCATTTACTGCCCACCTCTAATTGCCGAGGGCAGTTTAAGAATCAACCATATTGCTGTGGGTCTGCAGTCACATGTAAACCAGACCAGATTATGACAGCAGATATCCTTTCCCGAAGGACATTCGTGATCCAAGCAGGTTTTAATGACAATCAACAGTGGTTACATGATTTAAACTTGCGTTTTTAAAAAATTCCAGATAGCTATTAAATTTAGATTTTATCACATGCCTGTGGTGGAATTTGAACCCATATCCCCAGAACATTAGAGATAGTAGGAACTGCAGATGCTGGAGAATCCGAGACAACGAGGTGCAGGGCTGGATGAACACAGCAGGCCAAGCAGCATCATAGGAGCAGAAAGGCTAACGTTTCAGGCCTAGACCCTTCATCAGA